ACCACCCCGACAACCCCTCCCCCCTCTAACCCTCTTCCCACCCAAACCCCCCACCCCCTCCCTCCTTCCACACACACCAAAAGCCCCACACGCCCTCCTCGCCAAGAACCCCGTTGGACACGCCCCTTTCCTCCCCCGCCCACCCCATCCCCCGCCCACGACCCGCCCACGACCCGCCCGCCGTTTAAGAGGCCCTTTGAACGCCGTCCGTCGCGTCGTTTGTTGTCGTCGCTGAAAGGCAGGAGATCGTAAGCAGGGTCTGGAAGGAGCTCCTCGCCTGCTTGGGAAGGGGTGTGTGTGGGAGGAACGTTGGGGGTGGTGGGGGGGGGGGGGAGGTGGTAGGGGTGGGGGGGGGCTGAAGGTGGTGGAGGGGGGTGGGGGCTTGGAGGTGGGGGGGTTGAAGGGGGGATAGGTTGGAGGGGGGCTTGAAGGTAGAGGGTTAGAGGAGGTCATAGAGGAGTGGAACAGGAGTTTGGGGCTGTGGGAGTGGTGGAGGTGGTGAGGGGCTGGTTGGTTTTGGGGAGGAGGAGGAAGGAAGAAAGGCGGAGAGGAAAGAGGAGGAATGGTGATGGAGAGGGAAGAGGAGAAGAGAGGTGGAGAGGTGAGGGAGAAAGAGAGTGGAGAGGAAGAGGAGGAAGGAAAAGAAGTGGAGAGGGAAGGAGAAGGAGAAGGTGGAGGAAGAGGAAGAAGAAGAGAAGGTGGAGAGGGAAGAGAAGAGCAAGGTGGAAAGGAAAGAGGAGAAAGAGGGTGAGGAGGAGGTGGTGGAGCAATAGGAAGAGGAGGAGCTGGAAGGAAGAGGAAGCAGTTTTCGAGTCGACGGTGGCGGGGTGGGATGGAGGGGGGGGGAGAAGGGGAGAGGGAGGGGGAAGAACACGGAAGGAAATGCCACGAAAATGCGAGAACTCGAAAGGAAAAATGTATTGGTGTTTTTCTTCTTCTTTTTCTTCTTCCCTTTCCTTTTTCTCGTTTTTTTTCGCATGTGCGTCTGTGTGTCCAGTTTGTGGATATTAAATTTACCTGATCAGGCCTTTAGAATCTCGCTGTTTGAAAGGTCACTTATTTACTTATTTCTGTCTCCTCTCCTTCTTTCTTTCTCGTCTTCTAAGAAAACTAAAGGGTAAAACAGTCGCTCTAAGTTTTGTTTATAAAAAAGAAGATATAACCTTTTTCTTTTTCTTGTCCGGGGCAATCAGGCCCTAATTCTTTCTCGAATTCTTTCTGTCCAAGAAGAAGAAAAAAAACAAGAAAAGAATAAGAAAGAATGGCAGATAGAAAAAAAAAATTGATATTTTTTTAAGAAACAATGTTGCAAATAATCGTCATGACAAGAAAAATATCAATAATCATTAAAAAAAGAAATATATATATATATTTATATACAAGATAATAATAATAATAATAATCAATGATAATATAATAATAATATAATAATAATAAATAATAATAATAATAACAATAACAATAATAATGATAATAATAACAATAATAATAATAACAATAAAAAATAATAAAATAATAATAATAATAATAATAATAATAATAATAATAATAATAATAATAATAATAATAATAATAATAATAATAATAATAATAATGATAATAATAATAATAATAATAATAATAATAAATAATAATAATAATAATAATAATAATAATAATAATAATAATAATATAATAATAATAATAATAATAATAATAATAATATAATAATAATAATAATAATAATAATAATAATAATATAATAAAATAATAATAACAATAATAATAACAATAATATATATAATAATAATAATATAATAATACAATAAAATACTACTAATAATAATAATAATGATAACAATAATAATGATAATAATAATGTATATGAAAGCAAGAAATAACGATGCAACTGAGAGAAAGAAAGCCGTGTTATGCTTCACGAGGACATTTCTATTTCGTATTATTTCAAACCAATCGTTCGTGTTCTGATGGTTTGCTTGTTCGTGCCTGTTGCTTGTTTGTCGGCTTTTGAGATTAAAGCGAGAGCTAGAGATGTAATATTTATCTAGTTTTTCTTTTTGCTTCTGCTTCTTCTTCTTCTTCTTTATCTCTTCTGTTTTTTCTTCTTCTTTTTCTTCATTATCATCGTCTTCTTCATCATCTTTGGTTCTTTCTTTCATCCTTTTGTTTTCCTTTCCAGATCCTATATTTGTCTTCTCGTTTTTTTTTCTTTTTTCTCTATCTTCTTTTTTCTTTTCCTGTCTTCATGATATCCCCCCCAAAAAAAATCCAGAGAAAACATTACGAAACGGCTCGTTATCCGGATTCGCAAGATAACACGGAACACGGAACAATATCAAGTTCATAATGGCTGTATCCGCAATCCTTAAATCCCATGCCCGTGCAAAATAGAATAATATAAATCCATTATGACTCTGCGTTGAACCCCATCACTGCACGATCCGAAATAATTGAACGGCCATGATTGTTATGCATTGATACGTATCCCTATGTAAAACCATCGGTGCTATAGACAAATGAATAAATAAATGAATGGAAATAATAATTGATGAATCTTTTTGGAAAATAGATATTTAAGAACAAATATCTCAAAATAGAATTTTAAAAATCACACAAAAGAACCAAACAAGAACAGAAAACAATAACAAATATTGAAGGAATATATAAGTTAAGTTTTAAAAATTAAGAGAAACAACACAGAAAAAACACGTAAAAAAATAAGAAAAAAATAAGAAAAAAAGAAGTAAAAGAAGGAGCAAAAGGTAAAGATAAAAATTAAGGTGGATAAATAGAATTGACATAGCCTACCTCAGCAGGAAAAGCATAGTTGGCCAGCGTATGTTCCGATCCCTGCAAGTCCCTCTCTCCGAAGTGCAGTCTGAGGTGGCTGACGGAGTAGATGTAGGAGAGAGGTCCTCCTGAGATCTTCACCGAGGAGGAGGAGGTCGCCCTCGGACGCCTGACCCTCCACTCGAGACTGTGACCCGTGTTGACCAGCTCTCCCTGCACCTGTTGGAGGAAAGATGCTTGGTCGGTTGTGAAAGAGTGGTTGCCTGGCTGTTGGGGATGACTAAGTGGTTTAGGTCGTTGAATGTTTGTTGTTTGTGGCTCAAGTGGTTAGTTTGAGTTGATTTATATCTTTAGTAGTGTTTATTTGATAGTTAAAGATGCTGGTTTCAACTTGGAATAGTTTTGTTTTGTATGCTTGATGCTCTTGGTAGAAAAATAAAATAATAATTGATGAATCTTTTTGGAAAATAGATATTTAAGAACAAACATCTCAAAATAGTCCTTTTGGTTTATTTGGTTAGTGGTGTTAGTTTAAATACTTGTTGTTCTTGGTTTAGACGGTTGATGTTCTTGGTTAGAATTATTGGCTCCGTTGACCTAAACGTATTTATGTATTCATTTGATTACATATTCATCATTCCATAGCTTATCTACCTAATTTATTATCTCATTTCCATATTATTATACGTCGGCTTCCGTATCCTATCCCCACCCCTTTATTCAGTCTCTTTAACCCCACCTTTATCTCCTCCCTTCTCTCCAACTCCTCCTTCCTCCGATCACACACATACCTGCGTCTTATCAACCGTTATTGGGGTCAGGTTGGGGTCGTGGAGCAGGGTGCGGGGGTCCAAGTTAATGGGCGACTGTCTCCTGCCCTCCGAACACATGGACCAGGCAGGGTTGATCACGCCCCAGAATTCAGGCCCTGGATTAGAAGGTGATGGGCGCTGATTAGACGCGCCGTCGTTGGGTGAAGGGGGATTGGGGGGGGGCGGAGGCGGGAGGTTATAATGGGGTGGAATATTGATTGTGTTGATTATGGAATGGCGGTAATGATAATGGGTAATCAAGGAAGGGAAAATAAGGGGGAGTGATCTTATCGAAGTTGACAGCTGTAGTAGAATGCTGATTAATCATAAATCAAATGGGGAATAAATAAGAAATAGATGGTAAGTAAGAAATAATAATAATAAATGATAATGGTAATAGATAATAATAATAAGTAACAGTAATAAATAAAAATGATAAATAATAAGTAATAATAATAATAATAAATGGTAATAGTAATAACAGTAATAATAGATAATACTGATAATTATTATCATTATTATCATTATTATTATTATCATTAACAATAATGATACATTATAGACAATAAATAAATGAATGATAGATAAATGATAGATAAACAAATAAACAATAAACAAATAAATAAACATTAAACAACTAAATAACATATAGACAACAAAAGAATGGGGATAAATCATAGAGCAAACAACGCTGATAAACCCCGACCCAAAGGGGGGGAATCGGAAGGCCGAACGCGGTGGCTTTCCTTGGCCTCAGACGAGTAAACTATTCTCGAAATAATTTTTTAATTTGAATGCAGTAGATTCACATATTTTAGACTATTCATCTGATTAATTAACACCATGCGGCCCTAACTAGTTTTTGAAATATTTGGACACGGAATCATTCATTCGGATGGATAACGCCAAAATGTAAGTATGAATATACATACGCGTATACGCACACGCACATATTCATACATATACGCACACTCACACGCATACACAAACATACACACACGCACACACACAGCACGAACATACACATACATACTGTTTGTCTGTCTGTGTCTGTCTCTCTCTCTCTCTCTCTCTCTCTCTCTCTCTCTCTCTCTCTCTCTCTCTCTCTCTCTCTCTCTCTCTCTCTCTCTCTCTCTCTCTCTCTTCTCTCTCTTCTCTCTCTCTCTCTCTCTCTCTCTCTCTCTCTCTCTCTCTCTCTCTCTCTCTCTCTCTCTCTCTCTCTCTCTCTCTCTCTCTCTCTCTCTCTCCTCTCTCTCTCTCTCTCTCTCTCTCATCTCTTCTCTCTCTCTCTCTCTCTCTCTCTCTCTCTCTCTCTCTCTCTCTCTCTCTCTCGCTCTCTCTCTCTCTCTCTCTCTCTCTCTCTCTCTCTCTCTCTCTCTCTCTCTCTCTCTCTCTCTC